ACAAGCAGTGGCTGGCCTCCGTGTTCCCTATACCTCTCGCTAAGCAGCCTCAAGCTCGGCATCAACAATGACTGGTTTCAACTTGCATTGTAACACACATCAGGTGGCCCCAAGCCTGGCACAAGTAGTGGCCAGTCTTGGCTTGGGACATAGCTTCAACTATGTGGCCACAAGCCCAGCACAAGTGGTGGCTGGCCTCTTCTCACATTGTGTTGCCCACCAAAGGATACCAAGGCCATCACTAGTAAAAAGATGCTCAACATCACTAATCATCATGTAAATGTAAATTAAAACCACAATGAGGGCCGGTCGAGTGGCTCGTTGCTTAAGAGTTGGCTTGGGAGCATGAACGCTAAGCAGCAGGGCCGCCGGTTTGGATCCCACATGGGCTAGTAACACTGCGCCCTCTACAGTTAAGATGGTGAACAACAGCTCAACCTGGAGCTGGGCTGCCTGGAGTCGCCAGCAACAGCTTAGACTGCAGTGAGGCTGCAGTGGGCTTCCGTAAGCTACTGTGAGTGCCCAGCATCCAACGTGAGCAGCCGGGAGCCGGTGTGAGCTGCCGTCCAATGGCTGGCGACCAACTGCCTCACCCGGGAAGAGCGCAATGATAGCACCAACATGGGCCAGTGATGCGATGTCCTTCACAACTAGACTGAAGAACAAAAGGACAACAACTTGTCTGTTCCCCTTCCCCGACTCCCCAATAAAGTCTTTAAAAAAAATAAGCCACAATGAGATATCATCTCACACCTGTCAGAATGGCTATCATCAATAAATCAACAAACAAGTGTTGGAGACGATGTGGAGAAAAGGGAACCCTCGTGCACTGTTGGTGGGATTGCAGATTGCTGCAGCCACTATAGAAAACAGTACGGCGATTCCTCAAAAAATTAAAAATAGAACTACCTTATGATCCAGCAATTCCACCTCTGGGTATTTATCCAAAGAAATCGAAAGCACTAATTCAAAAAGATATATACACCCCTATGCTCATTGCAGCGTTATTTACAATAGCCAAGATATGGAAGCAACCTAAGTGTCCACTGATAGACAAATGGATAAATACAATGGGAAATTACTCAGCCAAAAGAATGAAATCTTACCATTTGCAACAACATGGATGGACCTAGAGGGTATTATGTTAATTGAAATAAGTCAGACAGAGAAAGAAAAACACCATGATTTCACTTATATGTGGAATCTAAAAATAAATAAATGGACAAACTCATAGACTCAGAAAACAAATTGATCACTGCCAGATGGGAGGGGATTGGAGGGTGGATGACAAAGGTGATGGGATTACGAAGTACAAATTGCCAGTTATAAAATAGTCATGGGGCTGTAGAGTACAGCATAGGGAATATGGTCAGTAATATTGTAATAACTGTGGTGCCAGGTGGGTGCTAGACTTATCAGGGAGATCACTTCATTAGGTATATAAATGTATAACCACTATGTTGTACACCTGAAACTAATATCATGTATGTCAACTGTAAATGAAAAATTAAAACAAAATTTTAAGACTATAGATTTTGTCTTGGTCACTATTTCTCTGTCACTCACTGGGGGAAGGAAGCTGTCAAGTCATGAGGACACTTAGGCAGCCTTATTGAAAGGCCCACGTGGTTTGGAAATGAGGTATCCAATCAGTAGTCACGTGTGTGAGTGTGAAAAGATCCTCCAGCCCTAGATGACCGCAGCTCCAGCTGACATCTTGCCTGCAACTTTAGGAGAGATCCAAAGTCATCACCGTCCAGCTAAGCTGCTTCCTGATTCCTGACCTTCACAAACTGCGTGAGATGTTTGTTGTTTTAAAGTCACTACATTTGGGGGGAATTTTTGTTATATACTTATAGATAATTAATGCAACCATGGACACCATATTTGCTTGCTTAGGAAGAAGGCTGACAGTCCCTCTCCTGAATCTAGATGACATGGCCTAAAGTGCCATTTTGGCAAGTGGCTTTGTCACGAAGCCTTACAGAAGTTTTGGTAAACCTCAGTTCCTCCACAATGCCATACCCAGAAGTGATGCAAAGCGACCGCATCCCGTGGACATTTTTATCATGAAGGACACAGTGCTGGCTGGGAGAAAGAGGCTCCGTCCCAGTACCTCCCAACTCCTGTGAGACCACAGGGAAGCTTCATCATTTTTCTAGGCCTTTGTTTCTTTCTAACACAGCTGTAATACTACCTTCTTGTGTGGTTCAAAATCGTAGATATAAAAGGACTTTGGAAAAAGAGTTGAACCTACTATACAACTTCCAGACAGTTGCAGCAGCAGCACGACCACAACCACTTTCCACTCAGACGTGGAATGTGTTTGGATTTTATATTGTAGTTTTGATATCAAACATGAGGTCCCCTGAGGAGACTTAAAGACTATATCATGAGGAAAAAACACAGCATCAACGTGTTAAGTCAGGTGAGAGGAGTTGGCAGGGAGCAAGTGGGGAATGGTGTGGACACTGCAAACGAGGGAGTTCGTGACCTCCCTAAAGGAAATTTTAAAACATTTGTTGAGGGCCAAGCAACCCGAGTCTGCCTACCAAATTTGATCCACCAAATTGTAATCAAGCCCTGTATCCAGCACTATACATACTTATCAATACAGATCGATACAGATATGTAAGATTCCGGCCTCATCATATCTTTTGCAGATGCTGGAAGGTTCTATGACTAGCTCTTCATTACATATCCATCCCTCCATCCATGCAATCCAGAAACATTTATGGATAACCCACTATTAGTTACATACTATGCCTCCTACCAATCCTGTTGTACCAAATTTTGTACCTTAAACCCTTCTATTTTGTGCCTCTCCAAGTTTGGATTATTTGTATCAGTACTGTATTTGCAGGTAATGCAGATCCTCTATTTTAAGAAATGAGTTCCAGTCCCAAATCCACAAATAAAGAATTATTATAATAATAGCATATTCATGAAAAGCAAATTACTTATCTTGGCGTTTAACATTCTTGTAACTATTCCTGTACTTTTAATGTCAACAGAAAAAAAGTAATATCTAAGCCTGGCTGATATGGTAAATTAATGTTAATAAGAGTTTTGACACTAATAGCAAGTTTTAAAAAGAAAAACCTCCAGTCTCTAAGCTGGGTTTCATTTCTTAAAAATCTCCTCAGCTTGCTGTCACCAGAATCCCCTAGAATAATTGCAGCTAATATTTCACCTTCACTGGGAGCTTGAAACAACTAGGGTCTGCAAAGTTTCTATGAAATTACATTTCTTCCCTGCCTTTGCACACTCCAGATGGAGAAAACACCCATCTCGTGAGTTACAATACCAGGGCTTCTCAGCAGAGACACATTTCTGAATCCTTGTTGAGCAAATGAACACCTCCACGGTTTCATTAAAAAACCACTAGCTGTTTTCTTCAGAGCCTGAAAATCAGTTGTGAAATTGTGAACTACTGAAGTACACACTAGATTAGTGGGAAATTTCAGACTTCATATTGTAGAGACCATGGAATACCAGAGGACAGGGTCTGTACTTTATCTTCATGGTCTTCTCTAGTACTGCGCTTAGAAGAGGACATTAATAAATGTCCCATGAATTAGATTGACCTGAGAAAAAATTTTAGCAGGCTCAGGGAAAATGAAAAGGAATCCAGCTCTTGGTGCCTCAACTCTTGCCAGCTCTTTCTAGAAGTAAACAAGGGTTCAAGCAGCCCCTTGCAAATCCTCTACCTCTCTCAGACTCTGCCAATAGGACATGGTTGGCCTACAATATCCACCTCTATAATCACTTTAAGCAAAGCGTCTCTTCCAACTTCTCAAACGTTGTTCTTTTTTCATTACTAAAAGAGTGTTTTACTTTTAGATAATCCTATAATGAACTAGCTCAAATGAGCAGAGAGGCAGCAGTGACAACCCATCAATAAAATAATTAAGCAGAAGTGGATTTTAGTAGATTTCTCATGTCACAATAGGAAATCTTGGCTACTTAAAAGAATCCCTTCTTTTTGTTTTAAAAGGAAAGTTAGCTGTAAAAGTATCACTTTCTTATTTCCTTTCTTTTTTTTTTTAGCTGAGCCATCCTGCCACCTGTTGGCAGCTCAGTGGCAGCTCAGCTCGAGCGCGGCGTCACTGGCCCATGTGGGAATCGAACCGGTGACCCTGTTGCTCAGAGCTCGCACTCTTGAGCAAGCTCTTAACCAACTGAGTCACTCAGCCAGCTTGAAAAAGTATCATTTTCATAGAACCCTCATTAACTGCTGATAATACTGCTTATTTAGTCTGAAGATGCATGCACAATGGAGATATCAGTGGAGTACAAGGTGGTTTCCAGAATTTTCTTTTTCCCCTCCCAGTTTTCACTCAGAATTATCTTTAGAATTTAGGCAAGAGACCCTTGACATTTCCTCTCAGTTTTAAGATTCACATTATGGCCTCAGTCCCCTAAGACTTGCACCACCACACATATCCCATGGGAAAAAGCAGGGGTGGGTGGGGGGAAATCATGGTGTGACGGGCACAGATGCAGGACAAAATTCTACCTCTTCTCTCTCTTTCAACCAGCGAAAGAGGAGCATTCCTGACAACAAAAGCTGACCACAGCAGCTACATTTCTTTTGCATCCTCCTCCCCTGGTTGATCCAAGAGCCTGTTAGCCTTGTCTTCCAACACAAGTTCCATGATGCCACTGACCCACTTCACCCTTATCCCCAAGCTTTGCATTATCTTCCACTGGGAGCCTGGGATGAGCTCTGCAACCAGCCTCTGCAGTAATAAACATTCATCCATTACCAAATGGCTTCAAGCTCTGGACAAGAAATAGAAACATAGACCAGAGCTGGCTTTGGGTGCTATATCGAGGGGTAAACAGGAACTAAATAAGGAAGTTAAGTGAACTTAAACTCACTCAGGCTGATGCTTAAAGAGGGAGCCACATATTGGACTGAGATAAGGGACACCCTTGTGTGGTTACATGAAGAGGAAGATAAACTGAATATGGGGCCAAGTGAAATAATTACATACCCATGCTCCATCAGGCCCAAACAGTTCTAGGAAGTTGCCAATGAATTCTCTTGACTTTTCTTCCCACTTTTGAATTAGATCATGACTCTTTTCTTCCACTCTGTTAACAAATTCTTTTGATCTTTCCTCTACATTCTTGACCTTTTCCTTCATCTTGTCTACCTGGTTTTGGAAGCGGTACTTCTTCTCCTGGTCAAAAATTAAAGAAGAAAGAAATGAATTTATCCAAGACGGCATGAGAGTGATCAATCATTCATACTAATGGTTATATTTTATTTCCACTTGTGTTCTTAACCTGAAGAGTCAGAGTGTTGCTACTTCCCAAGGGCTGGATTGATGAGAAGACACATCCCTTGTAAGAAAAGTCATTTGTCATTAGTCTACTTGGATATGTAAAGTGAAGTACAAGTGGTTTTTTTTTTTTAAAAGATTTTTATTGGGGAATTGGGGGAGGGGAACAGCGCTGGGGACTCGGGGGAAGGGGAACAGACAAGTCGCTGTCCCCCTGCTCCTCAGTCTAGCCGTGGAGGACGCCGCCCCACCGGCCCAAGCTGGCACCACCACTGCGCTCTTCCCGGGCGAGATACATCAGTCGCTGGCTTCTGGACGGCCGCCCACCGCGGCCGCCGGCCGCTCACGCTGGCCGCTGGCCACACACGGCAGCCCACGGCAACCCACCGCCACAGGGGCTGCAGCCCACGCCGTCGCCAGCGACCCACAGCAGCCCAGCTCCAGGTTGAGCTGTTGTTCAGCATCTTAGCTGTAGAGGGCAGTGTCACCGGCCCTCACATGCGGGATCCGAACCTGGGCCCTCCGGCGTCCAAAGCCAGCTCCCAACCAAGGTGCCACTCGGCCGGCCCCAAGTGGTTTTAATATTCTCTTTCTTGTAAACATCTGAATTGAATTCACTTTTATAAGAGAAGAACCAAAAACATATATTTGGTCTTTATTATGGGTAGCTATTGGGCAAATACATCCCTTAAGTTCTGCTGGGACTTTTATAAAGTATGAATTATACATAGAATGGCCACTCAGTGGCTACCTGAGTCCTCTGTTTTACTGGAACATGTTAAAACCAATATTGGTTGAAATAAGTGGGCCACTGGTTGGGTCTTGAGACCCTTGAGTTATACTAAAATTTTCATTGTAAATATATTTTCCATTAAGCTAATTGAACTGCATTGATATTCTTAGTGATGAAGAAAGCTTTGGTTCTGACAGCTTCTCTGTACTGGGATTTTGTTCTTCTTATAGTCTTCATGCAGCAGTGCTATGCCTATGTGCCTGGAAGGCATCATATACTGGACAAGTCATATGTCACCTCTAAGCCCCAGTTTCCTCATCTGTAAATTGAGTATAATTATCATCCCTACCTTACAGTGTTGCTGTTAATAATTACAATAGATAAGATAATGCATGGAACATGTTTGCCATAACACGTGGCATTTAGTAAACCCTCAATGTGTGTTGTCTGTTTTATTACTATTCAGTGGCATAGGAATTTAATTGTGTTACTTGATGAGAGTGATATCAAAACCATGAAAATAACATGAGAAAGGGTGTTTTCCTCCATGAAATCATGATACATTTTTTTCCTAATGGGTAATAAGGGTTATTGTTTCTGTTTATTACATGGAACTGAAGTTCATATTTCAGAATTTGTTGAGGCACCTGGAATAATGCAAAACTGAGTCAGGATTTGCTGATTAAGACCTTCCAAACTTTACTGTGGCTTCAGGGTGGGGTGTGAGCTATACATGCTGCCACTCAGCTATATATAATATATGGTTACTATATACAGCTCTCAGGGGCAGCACAGAGTAGTAGAATGAGCACTGGGCTAGGAGTCAAGAGGCTGGGAGGCTGCTGCCGCCTCTGCCTCTACTTTGCTTGAGGCACCTTGGTCTGCTTTCCTCGTTTCCAAATGGAGGGACTTCAACTGGGTGATTGACCTTTGTCAGGTTCCTGTCTCCTCTGAGGTTCTGTGATTCAGCTGTATGCCCATCCAATGCATTTGATTTCATTTCTGGGCTGCGGCCGTATTTGTTGTCACAGAAAGGCCATGAGCGCATCCACACTGACTACACGGTTCCTTGAGCTAAGTGGCTTATCCAAAAGCCGCTTGAAGAGAGTGAGCAAGAACTTTTGGAAATGGCTTGACATACTTGGATGGTTGACTGAAGTCAGTTTAAAAGAACAGTTTAATTTATGGAAATAACCATGGCTTTATTCTTTATAAGATACCAAATAATCACCGTGAATTCTTTTCAGCCACTTATTCTGGTACCACTTGAATCTGACATTTTCCATTTTGTTGCCTGGCTTGTATGAAGCCACAGAACCTGGATTTCCAACACCCCCTGCCTTGTGAGGACAACTAAATAATCACTGATTTACAATTAATGGGCCCCTCCTCATTGTGAAGGTACCAGTGATCGATTTGTATAAGTTGCTGCATAATTATGGCTGCATATAATTATAAGCATCTAGTTTTATAGAAAAATCCCTCTTTGAAAATAAAGTATCTATTTTTGGGGGTTGAAATTCTGTTTAGAATGGAGAGTTCTTGTTTTAATCAACTCCATCAGCTCCTCAGAGTCCAGGCAAATACAGTTGTCCAGGATCACTAACATCACCTCTAACAACTGGGCTGCCCTCTTTGCTTTTTAACAGCCTGTTTTGCTTGTTTTAAAGATTGTTTTAATAGTTGCTCTATTATTAAACTAACAGCAGCTCTGTGAGAACAATACAGCAGAAATACCAAAGGAAGCCAAAGACTTGAGGCTTTATTTAAGCAGCTGTAATTTCTCCGGACAATAAAAAACGGTTGTTAAGGTCTCTAATGAGCATCTGTAAGGCCTTAATACGATCAAAATTTTTAGATGTTAGAACAAGAAAGCATTTTCTCTGGGTTTAGCTTTTCATCACCTCTGTCCTCCTTCCTTCCCTTTGAGCAGAAGACAACTCTGGCCTTTCATGATGGCAGCTCTCCCAGAAACCCTTCGCCCTAGTCAGAGAGCTCTAAAGAAGGGAGGCTGGGGCAAGAGGAGGGAAGCAAGGCAGCTCCTTTATAAAAGGTGAAGCTCACTGCCTGTGCGCCTTAGTTAACTTATGTTACCCCTTTGGACATTAGTTTCTCCATCTGTAAAATAGGGATAATAATACATTATTGGGTTGCTATGCAGGTTGAATGAGATGATAAATGTAACATCAAGAATACTATGTGGCATAAAGTAAGTGCTCAATAAACAGTGGCAATGGTGGCAGCAATGGTGTGATGTGGTGGTTCTCAGAGGGTATGGGATGGCATACTTACGTTTATAAAGCTGACGTTCAGTTCCTTGGCTGTGTACCCTCTCTGGAGGTTGCGTCGGGCATAAACATCATAGTCTCGGACAATTCTGGTGATGATGTCTGATGTTGAGATGCCTTCCGTTCTCTGCGTTGGAACAAACATTCCTGTTCAAATAAGAAAGAGAAGATAAAGAGAAAAAACCAAGATGGCCTTGGCTGACCCATCTTCTTTAATGGCCCTCCTTTCCAGGACAAAGTTACATCTCCTGAGGCTTTCACATCTGGTCCCAGCTGACTCTTCCAGGCTCAGTTCTGTACGCTCTCTTCCTGCAGTAAACACTGCATGTTCATCATTCTGGACCTGTTCCCTGGGTGCACCGTGCACTCCTGGCATTTGCTCATACCCAGCCTTCCTTTCTGCCATGGAGCCCTGTTCCCTGCCCACATCAGCCACAGCATTCCTCCTCATCCTGCAGCATCCAGCTTCAAGGTTATGCCTCTGACGCTACTAGGCAGAATCTACAACATTTAGGACATAACCTCATCTTCCATTAACAAACATATTTTACATGTCTGTCTCCTTGTAGAAAGGGAACATTTTGAAAGCACAGATTATGCCTTGAGTGTCTTTGCATCTCCAGCACCCAGCTTAGTGCCTCTGTGTCTAGCACATGGAAGGTGCTCAATAAATGCAAATTGAATAAGTTAGTGAGTGGGGACTAACAGTTGAGTCAATGAATTAGTCAGATCACAGCAACTCCCCTTCTTCCCCAAGGAAGTCTGTGTCACATTATACCAAAAGAGAAGAAGAAAAAGTATACTATTTTTGTTGTCTCTGATTTAAACACATGGCTATGGGGGTGCTAGATGATTTTATCTCCCTACGACTGTCCTACTCTGGATGGTGATTTCACCACTCAAAGGCCCTTTCATCTAGAATATGTGGGGCTGAGGAAAAATAAGCACAGAGGATGCCAAACTCTAATAGAACTTCCTTAAAGTCCTCAGATATATTTGAGTGTACCAACACAGGGCTAAAAAGCGGTCACAAATGTTATCAAAGACAAGAATCTCGTTTGTGCTTACACTTCTGTTGTCAACTGAAATGCCGTGTTGGCAATTGAGATCTTTCTATCCGGTATGATTATGGCTCCTTAGTCAGAGACATCAGGCATGAGACGGCATGATGGACAGAGCCTGGGGACAGGGTGCTGGGTTCTTGGTTTGTAGACTTGGGCAAGTCTCTCAAACCTCAGAAGACATGTTACTTAACCTCAGTCTCTAGAACTGAGAAATGAGGCAGCTGTACAGGATGACCTTGGGCTCATCTGAGCCACTTCTCTCTCCCTGAGTCCCTACACCCCATTTCCTTCTAGTCACCAATCTCACCCTAAATATCTCCCCAATTCACCCACTTTTCTCCATATCTACACCAATCTAGCACCATCTTGTTCAAAGAGCCTCAAAACAGTTTCCAGTGATGTCTTTTTTGTTCCCTCATTCCACTTTCCCCATAGCAAGACCCACAGAGCAGTGTTTCAAAAGGCAAGTCAGACTCCTGTCCAATATCCTTCATTGCCTTTCTACTTTCTTCTGCATTTAGAGCCAAGTCCTTAACTTGGCTCTGTATCAGCTTGCATCATCTCTTCCCTGTGCTTCTCTCCAGCCTCATCTCAGACCCTGGCCCCCTTCACTCCCTAAGCCAAGCCCCTATGCTACACAGCTGCAGGGGGCACCATGCTCATTATACTCTGCGGAACTGGGCAACAGGCTGACTCTGCCTTGGCCCAGCCACATTGGACTTCAGTGTCTTGAAAGGGCTGGCTCCCCTCTCCTCCTTTTGCCACAAACACACTCTCTACCTGGTTAACTCTTGGTCATTCATTTTCACCTTCAGTGTCACTTCCTCAAGGAAATCTGTCTATCCCCAGACTGGGTCTTCCTGCTTGTTAATCCCTCCCATGGTCCAACTCCTCTTTTCCCTCAAATAGTCCAAGGTCTTTATAAAACATCTGTTCAGTAATGGCCGTCCCCACTTGACTATAAGCTACATGAGAGAAGAAACTGCTCCTGTCTCATTCTCTTGTATAATCTCAGCACTGGGCGACAAGCAGGCACAATAGGAATATTTGTTAAATGAATGACTACATGAATATTGCTAAGTGCCTTTCCAAATCCAGTTCTTTCTGATTCTACTGACATGGGAGAATTTTTCAGTCTTCTGGCCCCTATCAGGGTGTCCCTTTGGAGCTTTCTTTTGGTATTATCTGCACATTCACAGTATCAGCAGCAGCAGGGTGGCACTGCTGATGTTAGAGACAAAACATCCAGTTCCTAATATTCTGTGGCTCAGAGGACAGAGTTGGATTTTGCCACTAGACCAAAACTTATCACACCGCCTTCTAAGAAGGTGGACTAAAACACGGAAAACCAAATGGTAGGCAGAGGATGCAAACATCTAAATGCATGGATATAGATGGCACCCAAATGTCCCAGCCATGCAGGGCACTTTGGTGGGTGGGGAACGCTGAGTGGTCCCAGGTTAGGAGGACCTGAAAGAACAGCCTCATCTGGTGGCAGCAGTGGGGCCCCTTTTTCAGCAGACAGATATTTCACCCTCACCCCTCCTGCTGAAATAAATGTTAAGAAGATTCTCTAGCTACTAAAGGATTTTTGCAAGTCACTTAGACACTGGTGACAAGAGCTCACCCTTTTTCTGAAGCCACAGGGTGAAGTCTCTGTGGCTAAGCAGCTGAAAGGTAGGGCTGGGGAGAAATCTGCTTTGGCTGGCTGGGAGGTAGGTCTCTGAAAGAAGCCAAGCCCTCTGCTGACATAATGAGGCACCCGGCTTCCTCCACATCCTAATTATTGCTCTGCTAAAAATATTCAGTAATGAGCATGATCAGAGAGCCTTTTTTATCATGCTTTTCAGAATTGCAGCGTTTGGTTATGGAGTTATTTTAAGAAGCAGCAAAGCACAAGTTAATGAAGGAAACTTTCAACAGTAGTAGGCAATATTAGAATGATGATGAGTAATGTGGACCTTACAGTCTATTTCATTCAAGCTCCATGTTTTCATCCAGCTTTGCTGGACGATTTCGACATGTAGTCCTGACAAGCAAAGCAGAGTGCTGTAAAGTTTGATTCATGCCCTTGATATCTCTGGCTTTATCTGAAGTGATTTCTGAGTTTCAAAATATGCTTTGATTGGACTATAGAAACCAAATGTGGATGCTTAGGCTATTTCTGAGCATCTTTCTCCCACAGTGAATACACTGGTGGCTTCTATCTGGGCCTCAAACGGGTCTCTGCTGCGGCTCTCCCTTAATGAGGATTCAGCAGAGCGGATCAATGGATCACAGGAAAGGGTCCCTGTGCATGTGAAGTCACACATAGTCTTATGCCTGTGCTCCCAGGGCATGTGAAATACCACCTGACTATTCAATTTGGAAATGGGAATTGTGGTGAATTAAAGATGGGCACAATTCCTATCCCCTGGAATCGGGGCTGGCCTTAGTGACTTGCTTATACTAACTCGAATGTGGTATAAGTGACGCTGAGTGACTTCCAAGGCTAGGTCAGAAGCCTTGTGGGTTCTGTCGAGATTGCTAGCCCTCCAAATGCCTCCTTTGAGGGTGCACACTCTGAACCCAGCTGCTATGCTGTGAGAAGCCCACACAAACATGTGACCACGTGTAGGTGCTCCAGTGTCAAGTCCATCTGAGCTCCCTGTGGGCGGCCAGCCACATAAGTGACCCATCTGGGACCTGCAGCCCAGCTGGGCCTGCAGATGACCACAGCCCCAGGCAACATCTGACAACTGTTTGAGAGACCCCAAGACCCCAAGCAAGAACCACTCAGCCAACCCCTTGCTGAAATCCCACCCCACAAAATCATGAGCAAAATAAAGTGGATCTTTTAAGTCACTAACTGCGGGAGTGATTTCTTATGCAACAACAGAGTGCTGGATTGCTTAGAGTTAGAAAAATGTTGGACCTGTTCCTACATCTAAACAAATGGACTTGAGGTTTTACTCCCTAAAATCAGGAAAGCAACTTTTTCTTAGGTTCCCAGAGGCCACTCACCCAGAAATCAAACTACCACCAAATGCTTGTTCCTACTCTACAAGGTAGCTGGGGAACTGATTCCTTTAACCCCGGAGGTAACCCTGGGTGAACCAGAATCCCTGGTCTAGATTCTAGACCTCACTACTCTAAGTGGGGTCTGTGGAGTTGCAGTATCTAACAACCTGGGAGCTCATCAGAAATGGGGATCTTAGGTCCCACCAGGCCCACTGAAACTACATTTCCGTTTGACGAGCTCTGGCCTCTACCAGGTCCTTCACAGCAGTTTTAGGGAGGGAGCAGCTGGTTCACACCTCAGATCTTACAAAGACCTGAAGAGGTAATAATCACTTCATGCCATAACCCACCTTGATGTACTGATGCATCCCAGTTTCTCGCCCTCCCCACCATGTTCCTCAGCAGCCTTGCAATTCTGACGTGTGTGGGGTTTCCTTTCTTGGAACTCCGGACAAACGAGGTTGGGATTTGACAACGTCAGGCCTTCCATTCTTACCTAAAGCTCCTGAGCATTGAGGGGAGCGTTTCTGAGAGCACGGGGCAGAACCGACGGGCAGCCCTGCTGGGGGCGGCAAGGAGCTTCCCCACCTCAAGGGAAGGTAGATGCAGCTGAGAATACAGGAAACTGTGTTCAGCTTTTGATTTCTAAACCTAGCTCTTGTGAAGGCTCATTTCAAAAGGAATAGTTACGAAAGGTAAGGTTTTCACCTGAAAGAGCCAGGCTCTGAGGACTACAAAAAGGGTCTTCTAAATCCCAGAAGTGTCCCTTTAATTATTAAGAACCAAAGGCTGAGTGGACTCAGGGTACAAGAATGTCTTACCCTAGGCCCTGGAGTGGGGAAGATATGAAATTGAAAGGGGGGCAGTTTCTTGCCCTCCAGGAAGAAGAAAATCCCCTCCTGGGGTTGAGGAAAAGAGCCCAGAGAGGGATCAGTAGGCAAGCAGCGGAAGCCAGGGAACATGAGCAGGGCTTGTCCCTTGCCCCCCACTCAGGTTCAAATCCCAGGGGCAGGGAAGAGACCCCCTGAGAAAGTCCAGAACAGAGGAGCTGGCACCCTGCTTATCTCCAGGAACTTTGGGAGA